CCTCGGCGTGATTGTGTAGCAAAATTATATGTGGGACATTTTTGTCGGTTCATTGTTACTATTCGCTTTCGTTGTGGGCGTTTTTCATCTGTAGGAAAATTGGTTATTGTTTTACAAGTCTCTATTTACAGAGAGATTAATAAATTAATTAGAGACAATTAAGCTGGAAAAATTGAGGATTTTAAGCTTTGAATTACATTATAATTTATATATATAAAACTATATCTATATTAAAAAAAACCATGATAACGATTTGTCGATTAGTTAAGGCGTGGTTTTCCGAGGTTAAAAGGCCTTATGCGCTCCCTTGTGTATTATCAGCGTGCAACATTCGCACTTTCTGTGCGAATGTTGCACGCAAAGTTACTTTATTTGAAACGTCTTTGCTTATTATCTAGAAATAAAAAATCTTAATAAAAATGTAGCTGATTAAGAATTTATTTAATAAATTGCCTTTGATATTATCGAAAAGTGTTATGTGGTTATACCTCAAAAAAAAAACGAGAATTTAATCGTACAATTTTTTCTGCGTTCAAATTATAATTTTAAATCGAGCAATATAAAGCATTTTAAAAAAATCCATTCGATAATGAATTTAATTGAGAACTATATGTATGCGCTTTTTTCCCAAACCCTATTTTAAGAAGCATCAATTCTCGCATATAAAAATCGTATCTTATCGATTTTTTTTATCAAACCTGGCCTTATGTAATAATATTTCTCATATATTTTCTCCACAAATATAAAGAAGTTACTTATTAATAATATGAGTAAGAAAACCGTGATAGCTCAGGAGCTAAATCTTCGCCATAGATTTCACAGAATGAATACATCTCGTGTTTAATTCGCGCCAGCACCAATTAAATTGCAAATTGATAGCTTACCACGTATCCGGCAGTAAACGAAACATCGTGAGGAATCCTGTATCTCTGAGGAATAAAATATTTCGAAGACATGTGGATTCTGCTAACACGCACTGAAGCAGTGCAGCGTGGCGAATTAACTACTACATAATACTATCAGAAATGATAGGACGCACGTCACAACAGTACAAATGGTAATGTTAAGTTACTACTGGAATCTTTGGTGGGGTTGTAAATTTACTTACTTTTGTATATTACTTTTATTAGTTTCGTGTTTTATATTTTTAACAGGATAAGGGTGACAAATGAGCACACAGTCCACCTGATGGTAAGTCGCTTTTGTGGCCCATAGACATCTACATCTATCCTCCATTAAGAATCAAATTGCAGATGACTTTTCAATCAAAAAAAAGAACTGCGCGTCTCTACATTCGCCAAACGAAATACAGCAACATCACGCTGCTATTTGTCGCTGGTAATTAATGAGAGCGTGGCCCTTCCCCGGTCGAGTCAAACCATTCATGTTACAACTATTAATATAGCTGGTGCATGGCTCTACGTTGCCGATGGATACGGATATGGAAATCAATAGATACAGGTGACTCAACACCGTGCTTTGCGAAATACCTTAGAAGAAGCCTATCGTATATACAAGTATAAAGAACCTAGTACATACAAGTTCAAGACCGAATAGTATATACAAGTCAAAACTTATGTTCAGTAGATGACTTGTTTTACGAGGACTTGCATATACTATTATGTTATGAGACTATGGAATGATGGTTATAATATTAAGGATTATCAATACGCATATAATATGTCTGAATCTTATTGCCTCCACTTTCATAATTTTCGAATGTATCTTTACCAATTTGAAAGCCAGTTTACGTAACGACATGGAATTCGATTATCGAGTCGTAACTGATGTTGAGATTGCAACTAGAGAAACTTTGCGGCTTTGCATACATACATAAGCATTATATACACACATGAACATTTTTTATAGAAAAAAGGGTGGCAAACGTGCACACAGTCCACCTGATGGTAAGTGGACGCTGATGTTATCAACATCAATTCTTGATGAAAAAATAAAATACAATTGCGTTGTCACTCGTGAGGCTAAGATATAATGCCTCATTTCCAGTAAAAAGGGTTTCCAGTTCTCTACACTTACCATACGAAACACAGCAGCGTTAAGTAACTATTTACGCTGGTATTCTATGAGAGCGTAACTTCCTCGGTCCTTACGCATTCGTGCTACAACCATGATTCGGCAGCATAGCTCTACCACGTGCAACATATAAAACAATCAAACACACTAACGTACAATATCTAAGAATTCAAAAAATATGTGACTTAATAGACACGGGTTAGAAGGTCATATCTATGTTACGTAAGTATTACCAAAGTGGAAAACGAAGAGTTCGCAAACCGGTTCTAAATGTTCGTTACGGTTCTTCAGTTAGATAAAAGTTTTCACTTTTCCGGTTCTGCAACGGGTTAATGTGTCCATTTTAAGTACCGGTTCAAAATATTCGGATTACAAGTCTAAGGGGGAAGCCCTTCTTTATTATTATATTACTAACAGTGATGCCCTTTTTATCGCAAAGTATCATTTTGTGGCTCCCTCATCACAAAATAAGCGAATTAGAACTTGACTCGCTCGTGCTCTGGAAAATATAAAAACGCCTATATGTTCTCATATATATGTTTCTGCTTCAGTTGTTATACCAGTACTTGTCGGTATTCTTGCAATCTTTTAAATCTTTGAGTCTATTGTTCTATAAAGTTTTTAGAGCGGTTTTAAAATATTCTAAGAAAATATATCACTTTATATAAATCAAGTCCGTGACACACGATGATACACATAAAGTCAACATTTTTAAGTTATTAAAGTAACAGAAATAAAATTAAAGCTTTTGGCTACCAAAATTTGTTATAAATGTTTTTATAAGTGGTAAAACCTCGCCGCTGTTAAATAACTACACTTCAAATATGTTGGCTCGACCGGGGTAGGACCATGCTCTCACAGAATATCAGCGTGTAAATCAGCAGAATATTGTTGCTACGGTTTGTGTGGTCAGTGTAAAGAACTTGGGACCCTTTTTACTGATAACGAGCTATTCGATCGTAGTCCTCAGGAGTAATAACGCATCTTCATTTTGATTCTTAATCGAGGATGAATGTCGATGTCTATAGGCCTTAGCATCAACTTACCATCGGGTGGACTGTGTGCTCGTTTATCACCCTTACTCCTGTAAGAAAAATAAACTGCAGAAAAATGTTTCACAATTTGTCATTTATTTTTAAATATGCAGCAATTTTAATTTTATGTATCGTAACGGAGGATTAGTTGAAGTTTTATGGGCCTCAGCATCCACGAACTAACGAGGTGGGCTTTTAGGCTTTTGTGACCCATGAAAATAAGTATTAAAAATATGTAAATAAATTTCGTATAGCTTGAGTTTGGTTCTTTCTTAAAATATCAGATCGGGGCATTTTCAAGGCGCCTAGCTTCAATTCTAAGAACAATCAGCGATTGTTAGCCACCAGTTATATCTTGTCGTCGAGATTTATGGATTATTATTGTGTTTCATTGTTTCCATTCCGATGAATGAAAACCATAATCTTATCTCGTTTTTTTTATATTACGAAGGATCTGCGAGCTGTACTATAGTTATGAGAGATTTCTTTGTTTATAGAATAAGGGTGACAGACCAGCACAAAATTCAAAATGTTACCTCGAATAAGAATGAAAATTCAGATGCGTTATCGCTCCTGAGAACTTAGATGAAAGGCCTTGTTTCCAGCAAAAAAAATTATTAAAAAGTAGAGCTATGCTGCATCTTTATTTTTTTTAACGTAACCTCCACACTAGGCTGTTCTCCTGAATCGCAGAGGCAGTTTACATACATAGATTTCACAGGGACAAACATCCAGACCCAGAACAATTATTTGTAGGCCATACAAATACTTGTTCCGTGCGGGATTCGAACCCGCGGCCCTTAGTGCTGCAACTTATTGCTAAACCACTGCGCCACGGAGCCGTCTAATGTAATATTAATAGGATAGTTGTAGCACGAATGGGTCGGCTCGACCGGGGAAGGGCCACGCCCTCACAGAATAGCAGCTTAATGCTGCTGTGTTTTTAAAACACTGTCAAAACATAGAAGACACTAAAACCTTATGTACTCCTAATATCTATCATCATCATTACAGCCTTTCACAAGTCCACTGCTGAAGCCTATGCCTCCCCTAAGGAACGCCACAAAGCACGGTCCTGAGCCACCTGCATCCATCGACTTCCTGCAGTTCTTACCAGGTCGTCACTCCATCTCGTGGGGGGTCGCCTTACACTTCGCCTACCGGTACGAGGCTGCCATTCAAGAACAAATATCTATACATCTATACAAATAAATAAAATTGAATTGTCTGTTTGTAATGTTAAAATAACAGCTTTTTACTAAATGCATATGAAAGTATATACCAATAACAGAAACAACAATTATTAAAATTTTTGTCTGTCTGTTTATCTGTCTGTCTGTTTGTTCTGGCTTATCTTCGAAACGGCTAAACCGATTTTGACGGGACTTACACTGGCAGATAGGGGATGTTATAAGGAGTAACTTAGGATACTTTTATTTTAGAAAGAGAATTAGAGTTCCGCGCAAAAAAATTAAAACCCATGAAATGACTTCGCCCACGCGATCGGACATATTTATTATTCTTCTGTACGTGTTTGTCACTGAAAACGCTTGTCCAATTTTGATGAAATTTTTTGTGTGTTTAGTTGATTATTGGATGGTTTATATTTACTAAAGGATCCGGCAGGTGCCGCTATTTTGACGGCTCCGAGGCGTAGTCGCTTTGCAATAAATTCCAGCACTGGGGGCCGCGGGTTCGAATTTAGCACGGAACAAGTATTTGTATGGCCTACAAATAATTGTTCCGGGTCTGGATGTTTGTCCTTGTGCAATTTGTGTTTGTAAACTGCCACCACGATACAGGAGAAAATCCTAGTATGGGGGTAACGTTTTTTAAACAAAAAAAATATTTCGAGATCCAGAAATCACCCGTGCAAAGCCGGTGCGGATCGCTATTATTTTAATAAAATAGATAAAGTCATTAATTACTTACCTGTGAAAGATTAAGGGGAAGTCTTCCCGGTGGAGTGCTTACTTGACTGGCAACTAGTGAAGCTAACGCGACTCTCTGACTTCCACTCATTCCCCTAATAATTGGAAGGATTTGTGCAAATTTCCCCACATGATCTCTTCTTTCCAAGGCTTTAAGAACTGCATCTCTGACCATTGTCTCCTTATATCTCGAATTATGAGAGTTGTATGTTTTATACAGACTCTTCCGAGTCGTTGCTTCAAAGAAGTTTGATACGTCTATATTTGCTATCTCCTCTTCTAAAGAATCTAGATCGTACTGAGGTCTGTGCGAGTTGGTAACACCATTAGGCTTTATAATTCGGACTGGTGGTGCAATTAGCGTATGGTGATTGCTGGACTCTTGTGCTATCATTACTTCGTGAGGGTTTGAAGACTCCAAACCCTCATCTGCGGTTCTAACAGCTGACGCTACAGCTAATATTAAAATAACTCTTGTTATTTTAGACATTTTTTTTACTTATTTTTTTTATCTTTTTTACATCATTTTTAAACTATAAGTTCAATTGAACTCATAAGTAATTAACACACCACTAAAAGTCACGTTTAATAATTAACAAAATAAAATCGTAAATACGAGCGCGCGTTGAAGTCTTTTACACGTAGATGCGCGTACGCCGCTTTCTGCCTTAACGCGGAATGAACACATGGGTGTCGCTAGTCCACATATACTCGCGTATGTTCACAAGTGTCAGATATTGCCGGAACTCGCAACTTTCACTCATGTAGGGTTAAAAATGTAAACACAATGACCATTGATGCGTTATTTTTGATTCGTCATCTCGTTATCAATACATATTGTACTTACGTAAACAAAACTCGATCTTAACAATACCTCTAAGGTCACCAGAGAAATTTGAATACAAAAATAAATTCTAATTTCTTATAAATAAAGATTTCTTGTCATTGAACAATTATCGTTTAGTTTTGGAAGCTTTTTCCTCTAATTACACTTTCATACTTAATGTTATGTCATTGTTACGAGAGATTTCAATGGAGTCAATTATTCTACGAGTTTTTACAGTAATCAAAATAAGACTGTATTTCATAGGCATAAAGTAAGAAAATTTGTGAATACAAGTGCACGTACAATTAGTGTATTCTATAGCATGAATAGTCATTTTATTACTTTTGAAGGCACGTGTTTTAACTTAATGTCATTTTAGACATCGTTATATATTTATTAGACCACTGACAGATTTCTTTGGTTCATCGTCTCGTTTCTTATATAATTAGTTCATACGTAAACAAAAAATATCGATATATATTAACAAATCAAATCAAATCGTTTATTGCTTCTATAATGTACAGTACATTAGCAGTTACAGTGACCATTATAGACCCTGTCGGGCGTTGCAATATACAAGAAATATACAATAAAATAATTGAATGGACTTATAACTATGTAACATCATTATATTATATTTGGCTATTTTGAAAATAAAATTTTATTTAATACTTAGTAATTTACTGGTTAGTAATTAACTATCAAAAAATTCAGTGAGCGTGTAAAAGCATTTGGAAATAAGATAATCATGAAGTTTTTTATTGAATGAACTTAATTTAACTTCAGATTTTACATCTATGGGTAGTTTATTGAATATTTTAATTGCCATGTAATATGGACTACAATTGAGCATTTTGGTTCTAGATGGGGGTAAATATAACCTATGTTTATGCCTAGTATTTACATTGTGTGTTTCTTTTATCTGGGTGAAGAAGTGTTTATTTTTAAATACGAAGTTACTTATATCTTTTATGTAAATAGAAACTAAGGTTAATAATTTAAATTTAATGAAGTAGGGTCGACAGCTATGTCTGTTATCAATTCTGGCAAGTATCCTAACACATTTTTTTTGTAAAATGAACAATTCATCTGCATTAACACTATTACCCCAAAGGATAATGCCATATTTAAGCCATGAAAAGGCATACGCGTAATATGTGGACAGTGCAGTTTCTAAATTTGTGCTATGATTAATTTGATAAAGCGCATATGTAAATTTAGAGAGCTTGCATTTAATTTTTTCAATATGCGACTTCCAGTTTAAATGTGTATCTACATTAAGTCCAAGCAAGTTATACGAGTCTATCTCTTCTATTAGGGTATTTTGTAATTGAAAATTAATTTTTAGGGGTGGTTTATTATATGAACGAAATTGTAAAATTTTTGTCTTTTTAAGGTTTATTTCTAGATTATGGCTATCAAGCCAATGTGTGACATTATGAAGTGTATCATAGATAAGGGTTTCAGAGCTAATGTTGTCGTTACTTTTTATAAGTATTGATAAGTCATCTGCAAATAATACTGGCAGTGTTGATTCACTATACAAACATTTTGGTAGGTCATTTACATAAATAAGAAATAGCACACAGCCTAAAAAGCCTTTTGTATCGATATTTACCTCTAAGTTGAGGTAAATATCGATACAAAAATACATTATAAGCTTTATATAAAATTATTAATTGCATTGGAAAATTATCGTTTACTTTAGGAAACATTTTCCTTCAATTACGTTTTCATTCTTTAACTCATTATCTTCTTAACCTTATGGTTTTATTATTGTTACAAAAGATTTCAAATGAGTCAAGTTTTTATTCTACTTAGAGTATTTAATTTGCAGTTTGTAGATTATAAATCACTTTGTGAATAGAATTACGTGCATACTTTTAATGTATCATGTAGCATGAATAATCGCAATTGACAACTAATTTTGAAGACACGTAATTTTACTTTGTAGAAATTAATAACTAATATTTTTACTTCAGTAAAACGAATGATCATGATTCCACAACCAGATATGCAGTTATTGTAGCGTGACTGTACTACGTACCACTTTGTCTAATTTTTTTCTTCCAATTACTACTTATTTACGTTTAAAGTTTTGCTTATTTTTACAACAGTTCACAATTCCCCTGCTGAACATAGGCCTTCCCCAATGAATGCCACAAAGCACGGTCCTGAGCCACCAACATCCATTGTCTTCCTGCATGTCTTACCAGGTCGTCACTCCATCTAGTGGAAGATCGCCCTACACTTCACCTACCTGTACGAGGCTGCCACTCAAGAATCTTTTTCCCCCATTTTTGTCGGTTCATCGAGCTATATGGCCGGCCCATTGCCACTTCAGCTTGCTAATCCATTGGGGTATGTCGGTCACTCTGGTTCTATGGCAGATATCCTCATTTCTAAGTTTATCAGACATAGAAATCCCGAGCCTTTCCATAGCTCGCTGAGCGATCTTGAGCTTCCTTATACGACTATGTCATTCTCTTCAATTTCGGGGAAACAAAAAATCGCTCAGAATGGCGCCGTAGTGATCGCCATTCACTGTAAAGTTTATTTGCTCATTTTCGAAGAAAAATGGTCCAATAATGCCGCCAGACCAAAATCCACACAAGACAGTAACTCGTTGTGGATGCATTGGTTTCTCCATGATGACATGTGAATTTTAGCAGTGGACTTGTGAAGGGCTGTAATGATGATGATTATGATGATGACATCGACGACATTTCATTTCAACAGAATGACACAACGTGCTACACAGCTAACGTAACAATTGATAATTTGAGCACTGTTTTCCAAACAATCGAAAATGTACTGAAAAATTGGACTGATCGAATGGGGTATTTTAAGGCTAGCCGTGGTGGTCATTTGAATGATGTTGTCGTCCATTCCTATATAGAAAGGTTCAATCTTTTTCCTAAGTTTATAACTTTGATAAAATATTCATATTTTTTTTATAGCTGATTCAAATTCCAAATCTTAAATGGCCCAACCCTTATTATTGATTAATGTTGCAAAAAAAAAACTATAGACTAATCGAATATTAAAATAATTTTATCAATTATTTCTTATGTGCATTTGAATTCTTGTGTACATAAATTTTTTGTTAAGGTGAAACTGTATAAAAAGGGTTATTATAGTATAAATGAATACATGGTTAATAATAACCCCTGGGAACTAGGTGGTCGCTTTCAAGCTGTTTGTAAAATAAATTTTGTACTTATATAGTTTGTACAACCATTAATATAAAATTTGCTTTTAAAAAAAGTCCCGCTGGGTTTCTTTCTGGTTCTTCCCAGGACAGAGGCTTTTTTTCGAACCAGTGTCGAAGTAAAAAATGACATTCAATAAGAATTACACACGTGATCTATATTGAATAAAAAATATTCTATTCTCTTCTTGTATTCTATTCTATTCTATTCTGATATAAATAAATTGCAAATAGACTATAACCCAGAGATGGAACAATGATTGTATGTAACAAGGGGTTCAAATTCCAAACGGAACAATTGTTTATTCTGTGTGTATATTCTGGGTTTGGAAATTTATCTTTGTAGGCGTTATCGTCTCACCTCTTCTGTTTTTAATTTCTATCAATCTTATCATATTAATCTTCAAGTGCTCTTATCATCTGTATGTCGATGATCTACAACCATATGCATAGAAAAAACCATCCAATATGCGTTATTAAACGATAATTTACATTATATCACTCCACTGTGTTTGGAATTAAAGTGAATTCTTCTAAAAGTCAAGCGATTATTTTAGGTGGCTCTAGATACTTATCCAAATTAGATATCTCCACTTTGCCGTTTATTTCGTACAACAACAACGCTATCCCATACTCTCCACATGTTAAGAATCTTGGTCTATACGTTGATAGCTGTATTACACGGAACAAACAGATCCAGGAAGTAAACCGCAAAGTTACTGCAACATTGCGATCTCTTTATCGCCTAATAAATTTTCTTTCTACTGCTAGAAAAGTTTTACTTTTCAAATCTCTTATTATATAATATACTATGTAGATATGTGTTGCACAGACTTATCTCAACAGCATCTTAACACATTGGATCGTCTCCTCAAGAACTGCATCAGATAAGTTTATAATCTTCGTAAATATGACCTTATATCTTCTTTTCGTACTCAGTTTAACTGACTGCCAATCCCTCAATGTAGATATGTTAGAAAACTCTGCACTATTTTCAGTTGCTAACGTCTTTACAACGTACTGGTTATATGTCCCACTCTTTCGCTCTTACTTTGGCTATAAGTCTCTGGAACGAAATACCTCTTGACATTACAAAACCTTCCAACAAATTTCTTTTCAAAAACTAAGTTCGTGAACATTTTAGTAAAACATTGCAAGTGTGAATTAAGTCTTTTTCCTAAAGAATACGGCCTTACGGTCCAACGTAGTGACTATAGGCTACACTTTCAATAAATGCCAACTCGTCATTACTTCACTGCTGTATTTCACAAACATGGTACAGAGCCACCTGCCCCCATTGACTACCCGTATGTATTGCCAGGTCTTGATATATCACCTCCTATGGTATATCACATAATCTTTTCCTTTAATATTTCCCAGCAACTTGCACAAAACGCACACACAATAGCTCATAATAAAGAAAGTTGCAAATCATCACGATAATCTACAAGTC